GCAGCGTTTTCCAGACAGCGGGGCCAGCCGCTGTGCAACCCCCAGTCTGCGGAGCGGAAGCTTCCAGGAGGCCAAGCAGGGCTGCTCATGGCCCCAGGTCTCCGGCGTGTGACCTGTGGCAAGCACTTGCAAGCAGACTGCCCTCCTGGGTGCCAGAGGCCCCCCAAGGGGGGCCGTGCTTGCTGGGCTAACTGACCTCGGAGCTGCAGACGCCCAAGGGCCGCAGCCATCACAGGGAAGCAGGAGCGCTCTCAGCTCGGGGTCAGAGGCCCCGCCGCTTCTGCAGGTGAGCTGCACATGGTAACGTTAAACTCCCCCCGATGCCTCCTGGGCACCTGCCGAGGCCAGCACGTGCTGGTACCAGTCATGCTAATGACCAGGACAGTCAGACCTCTGCCCTCAGGGGCTTTATACTCCAGCGGGAAAGTCGGGGGGAAAACGGAGCTAATATAGACTTTTCGGTAAGATGTAATGGGTGCCATGACGGGAAACGCAGGGGTCTGAATAAGAGAATCGAAGGGAAGAGAAGAAAGTCTGGGACGCCTACACGGAGGCGGGGGGTGGGGTGGGACGTTTAAACCCAGAGGGAGAAGAGGAATTAGAGATGCAAATAAGGGAGGGCGAGAGCACGTGCGGGGGGCGGGGCTGGGAGGCGGGGTCTTGGTCTGAGCGGCGGAACACCCACCAGTGTGCTGCAGGCAGCTGAGCACGCGGCGGTGACAGGGGAGGAGGTCGGCAGGCTTGGGAGTGCATCCTGCTCTCTCTGCCGCTTGTTAGCCATCGCGGACGTGTCCCCTCATCGTCCCAAACCTCAGTTTCCACATCTGGAAAATGGACTTGATCCGCATACCTGCCTCACGTGGTGGATATAACTGAGAAAGCGCATGTGAATACTTAGCAGGGTGCCTGGCACATAGGACGCGCCCCGCTCATGTTAACTGCCAATTATCAATAAGTGGAGGGCGGGCTGGAGCCTACAGGCCTGTGTTGAATCCTGGCTCTGCCCCATGATTGTTTCGGGCCCCTCCCTTCGTTTCCTCATCCATAAAATGAGTTTCAAATTCCTATCCTGGAGGTGGGTTATTATGGGGGTTGTAGGAAGTGATCTGTGTGCAGCCAACCCGAAGGCAGGAGCCAACCCCTCAAGGTCTTTTAATTATTTTAAAGTAGTTTCCTGCATATGCTTAGCCTCTTACTGGACACTCAAAAACAGGACAGATAAAACCTTGATGAAAATCAGTCATAAGTTGGTAGGTCTGCCCATATTATCGGTTGGGGTGGCTGACAAAGAAGGACCCAGGAATTTTAGCTCTCCTCTTCCATTTCCTAGTCACGAGGGACCCTGATCTCCTCGGTTGCTTCCAAGGAGGAAGAAAAAAGGGCCTTGTCCCTTGAGTTAAGTAATAAGGCCAGAACGGAGCACCAGATTGTCTGAACCCCAGGAGTGCTTGGTGCTGGGGAGGAAATCTGCCAGGTGGGACCAGCCCGCCATGGGCTGTGGTCTGCCGGTCTCACACAGGCCCTTCTCTTTTTTAAAACTTGAGAGTAAGTGGTATTCCAGGCAGAAATCGTGGGGGCTGGAGGAAAGGGAAAGTTATTTAAGCCACAGATGCTCTGTGTTCATTGCTGACATGGAATGTGGCCGGGGAAGGCGCAGACCCGCAGACGTGTGACTCAAACCCCTCGTGCGGTGCTGGCCGCTCGGTTTGAACCGATGCCTCAACAGCGTCAGCCCGCAGCCAGCTCTGGGGGTTCCCCGCAATCCGGGTTCCGCCCTGGGGGCGTGCCCTGATTTCCTGGCTGATGCTGTGGGGCCCTCTGGTGGCTGCAGCGTGAATAGCGCTGCAGTGCGGTTCGCTTTCTCCTGCCTGGCCCCGCCTGGCGGGGTAAGGAGCGGGAGGGAAGTCCTGTCCCGAAGCCCAAGGGTTGACTATGGGGCTGGGAAGTTTACCTAGCTGGCCTGAGACAGAGGCTGCGGCTTAGGCTGGCACCTTGTCCCATTCGCTCATGCCTTCGGTGGGGGGAGGGGTCTCTCAGGGCTGGAGCAGCGGGGACAGCAATGTTCTGTGTACAAGATGCAAAGAAAAACAAAACAAGCAGATGAAAATAGAGTTGTTGGGCTGAACTAGTGTTTGGTGCCATGTGGATCAAAACTTCCATTAGGGCATACGATTGAACTGGTTTTATCGGTCGGCTTTTAAGTGAATTCATTCCAACACTTTTGAGCATAGACATTCTGAAAGCCGACGTGCCTGGTTATTGGAGGATGCGCTGCTGGTAAACCATGCGGCGTCTCTGAGGTCTGCATCAGCCACATTATATAAGAATAAAAACATGCTCTGGCTCTGCTTATTAAAAATTAACATCATCATTTTACAGTCTGCTAAGTCCTGTCTCATATGTTTATCTTACTGGTTCTGAGTAATCACCCCAAGAAGTATTTTAGATTGATTAGTGTTATGATTAGTATTAGCATTGTAATTTTTCATGGTTTACATGTATTTTCTCCAAGTTTCACGAAAGACCTGCTAGATTCTGAGTCTGTTTTCAGCTGACCTGGGGGCAGAAGTGTAGTCCTGTTAAAGCCCAGGTAAGGCTAGTCTCAAAGCCTGTCTCTGGCCACCTTCTCACTCTGCCTGTCTTTAGGTAGAGCGTCAGGACAGCTGCTTAGAAGAATAACCAGATCTTGGCAGGATCGTGAGGAGTGTTCACAGACGGCTCCAATGAGAGCTAGTGTGTGTGGCCAGGGACACGCAGGTGTAGATGGCAAGACCAGTGGGAATTTGGAACGGCAGCTCCCCTCCTGGCCAGGACCCGTAGGAATAACTTCGTGGAGCCTTGAGGGAGGCTCCGTGGAGCCTTCAAGGAGCCTTGAAGGGTGGTCAGATTTGGTAAAAATCGGTGGTGGGGCACGTGGGACAGGTGCCCAGGGGAGGGCGGCCCCACGTGGGGGAGGGGAAGAAACATGAATAAAAACGCCGAGGACGCATTTGGAAAACTAGCAGGGGCGGCTAGCAACGGGGTTTGGGGGGCGGTAGTGGCCAGATGATTGACGCTTTTGACTTCGGGGCTAAAGATGTAAACGGTGACCGGCAAGGGAGAGTGTGTAGACCCTGGCTCTCCCAGTGATCACTTGACCGAGATCTGCTTCCCAGGCGATGCCCTGGCTCCCCGCACTCGTTTCGTGGTCCGGCTGGGCCCCGGGTGGAATGCCTGGCTCCAGCCGTGTCCCCCAACCAGGCTCAGCCGTCTGGTGATAGATCGTGAGGCCGGGACCTGGGGAGCCGCGGGGCTGGCTGCCGAGGGGGTGATGCTCCTTGTGCCGAGCGGCTCCCAGGCTGGGCGAGGCGTCGGGCCGTGGCGGGCAGCGGTGAAGGGAGGCCACAAGGTGGGCGCGCTGGCTGATCACAGGTCCGGACACCCTTGGGTTCTAGTCGGATGTCACTCCCTCGTGGACCGCCACCCCCTCCCCCAGGCTGGGGGCCTCCCTTAGCATCTCATGGACCTCATCGCAGGGCCTAGATGTTGCCTGTGCGCTCGCTTGTCCCCCCAATGCCTGTAGTTCTGGGCACAGAGATTTGTGTTGGTGTCGAGGGGAAGCAGAGTTGGCACCCCAAAATATGCCTTTTGGGATATTGATTATTTTAAGCTGGTTATTTTTAAGAAAAGAAAGGCTCAGAAGAAAACCTTCGACCTCCCCCTAAATGCCTAAAAGAATTTAGATGGAGGACTACTCCAGGAAGGAGCTGTCCTCGCGGGTCACCACAGTTCAATACGAACTCGTGTGACAGACAGGGAGGAGCCTCGCGAGGCCCGTCAGGTAAACGTGCTCTCTGTGCCCCGCTGCTAAGGACGGCCCAGCGAACACTCACGGACCAACCATTCGCTCTTCATCTCCATGGGAACCGCCTCCCAGCCCTCTGAAGTCCCAAACCACACCCCCCACCTTCTCCTTGGCTCAAGACGGCACAGGAGCCTCAACTGCCCCATCCGTCCTTGGGTCTCATAGTCTTAACGGAACCCCCGTGTGCACCCACGTCATAAGTTTGGTTATTTTCTCTCGTTAATCTGTCTCAGGTCGATCTGATTATTAGACCAGCCAGAGAAATTTAGAAGGGTCCTGGCTCTGAATGGCATGCCCTACGCTAAGAATCGTAGAGGGGCATCTGCGGGGGAGGGTCAGCTGGTGGAGACGCCTCAGGAGCCCATCTCAGCCTGAGGTGCTCAGTTTCTCTTTTCGGAAAATGTGACTTAAAATCTATCACCTATTCTAGCAAGTAAACGAGTTACAGCTCTCCATGTTTTAGAAGACGTTCAAGCTTCTCAGCTCAATCCGTTCGTAAATGCAGCAGTACATGCATAGCTATGTGTGTTGCAAAGGTTCGTTTGCGACAGAAAAGCTTCCTTTTATGAAACAGTTGTCCATCAGCTTGACCTCACACATGATAACATTGTTTTTTCTTCTTCGCAGTGTTTAACGTGGCAGCTGTCGTGAAGTAGAAAGAGGATTAGGAGATTGGTGTTTGAATTCGGGTTCTCACAGTCATTAGCTTTGGGATCTAGGGCAAGTCACCTACCCTCTCCCAACTTGTTTCTTCCTCTTCAAAGTGAGGTTAAAAATACCCAAGATTAGGAAAACCCATTCCATTATACAAACGGTTTTCGTGCATTCGTTCAGACACTCACTGAGTGCCAGCTTAGTGCTCGACACGGTCTAAATCCTGGATGCAGAAGGAAAGCCAGAACCTCTCTTCTGGGAACCGCTGTCCAGCAGGGCAGGCCGACACTCAAACAGCCCGTGAAGGTGGGAAGTGTCGCCGAGATGCTGCCCCTGGTTAGCGAGCAGAGATGGGGGTGTTGGGGGGCTTCTTGGAGGGGGACCCTCGAGGGTGATCTGAGGGACGGACAGATAACCAGATGAGGAGGGTCGGGGGACCGCGGGGGCGGGGCATCCGGGGAGCTACAGGGGACTCACTGGGTGCGTGGGGCATGTGCAGAGCTTGGGGACATCGGCACAGGGCATCCGTGAGGGGCCAGATCACGGACCTCCACGACCGAGTGAGGAAATGTGAACTTTATTCTCACACTGGGAGGAACGCTGCAAGTTTAACACGTATGTGCTTTTCTGATTATAAAAGGAATCTGTATCCGTCGATAGAAAAATGGAAAATACAGAAACGTTTAAAGAAGAAAAGCGCTCAGAGGTAACCGTCATTCATATTTTGGTAAATGTGCTCGGGGAAGGTACAAGTTAATGCTGCCAGGCCCTGGCTGATGAGTGTGCTCCACGGGCCGCCAGCAACAGCTGTTAACTTTTTTAGCTGTGAAAAATGTTATGATCGTACTTTAAAATAAGAGTCCTTATCATTTAGAGACCTATATCGAAATATTTTATGGATAAAATACGTTGTCTGGGATTTACTTCAGCATAGCCCAGTGTCGGGCTGGCTGTGTATAAGGGTATAAATCACCTGTGAATCTGATTATACTATTATATCATAGTATTCTCTCTATTTTTGTAGGAATTTTCCATGATAAAAAGAAAAAAGGACAGGAGGCAAAACCCATCGTTTGTGTCTGGCATTCTCTTTAAAGGACATTTTCACCCTCGTTATTGCCCCTGAGGCTTCTAACAGCCCTGTGGGGAGACGGGGCGGGACGAGGATGGAGGAAGAGGCTCAGAACGTGCCCAGGGCACTCGGCTGGTGTGCGGTGGCTCTAGGAGCCGGATCCAGGAGTCCGCGGGCCTGGGGCAGACGGCAGGACGGTGTGGGGAGAATCCAGGGAGGAGACGATTTCAGGGGACACGGCTGCAGGTGGCGGGCGGCTGGGTCACTGGGTCTGGTAACAGCCAGTCTCGTCGACCCGGGAAAGCGAGGTCAGCCTGGGGAGGAGGAGGCAGCTGGACCGAGCGACCGCAAAGAGTCAAGGCCGAGGAGGTTGGGTGAGGACAAACGCACGGCCACCTCTGCCGCCACCGCGGCGGCGTTCTACCTTACCCCGCCTCCGCGGTCCGTTTTTCACCTCTGCCACAGTGGATCCCTTTTTGGGCCGATTGACAGCATTCCTGAGTCCTCACCTTTGTTCGGCAGTCTCACCAGAAGCCCTGGTGACTCTGCAGGTTGGGGAGGCCAGTAAGTCACCCCGAGGAGAAACTATGACTGCGGTGACAGGAGCTATTCTCTCCGCCTGGGCTGCGTTCTCAGTGGAGAGAGGTGGGGCGAGGCCGGGGTCACCGCTGTGTCATCCCCGTTCTCACGGGACGGGATCAGGGCCCAGTTCCCAGCCAGTGCAGACCTGCCTTTCGCGCCCAGAGTTTGCTTTCTGGCCCGCAGCCACCCACGGATGCTCTCGGTGGGGACGGGGAGGTTCAGGAGAGCAGGGAGAGCAGAGACAAAGCGTGAGTTACCGCAGTCGCTGCCGGGTGTGGCCCGAATTCCCAGCACAGCACGTCACTCAGTCACTCACCGGGCCGTGGGCAGCACAAGGGGTCATTGTGCGGTGGGCGGGTGCCGTGGTCACCAGGTCCTCTGATGAACGGGGGGCGGGGAAAGGTGTTGGCTTCACGATCCTTTATATAGGGGCGTGACTGCTGCGTTTGTAGGTTCTGTTTGCCTCTCTCTCTTCACGTACTCCCGTTCTTGTTTATGTACCCTGCTTCTTGCTCTGTTTATTTGAACATTTTAAACGTCCTCGAGTTAAAAGTCCGTTGCAGATGGCTCGCTCTCGTTCCTTGCGTGCGAAGCCCCTCGCCGTTTCGGGTGCTGCCTCAGCCCGGGGATCCAGTACCAGGGAGCAGGGTGCGTTTGAGCCCGATGCCTTCGGGAGGCACAGGGGCGGCTCTGGTCCCTCTCAGATGACTTTTTCCTGTGACGTTGCCTCCCCGCCCCCAGCCCCGGGCTTTCCGACACGTTAGCTGAGAGCTGTCCGTGTTCTTCGCCGCGGCCCAGGGACACGTGGCCTCAGCTCTGGCATCGTTACAGCTATGGGTCACCTTTTTGCTTTTGGCATCTGGATATTTCTTTCTGCCTTTTGAACTAAGGATTTAGATTTTTGGGGGGGACGTGGAGTGGGGGGCTCCCTTTCATTCACATTGTTCGCAGTAGGAAAGGGGGCTTGCTGTATCTGCTCCATCCTCAATCTTGACAGAAGTCCCAGTATCGTGGCCCAAAATCTTCATCAAAAACGATGGAGCTTTCCTTGATGTTTTTTTCCTTCTTTTTTCAGTAAAAAATTTTACCTTGGATTTGGCAATGATTTCTTGGGTACGGCACCAAAAGCACAGGCGATAGAAGGAAAAAATAGATAGATTGGACTTCATCGAAATTAAAAAATGTCTTGCATCGCACGGGAGGGCCGCCGCATCCCCACTACGGAGCCCAGCGAGGTTTCCTGGAGGACGAACCGTGGCGGCCGAGATGGAAGGGGACAGGTGTGGCAGAGCGCTCGGACCTGGCGGCGAGAAGCCCAGTGTGTCGTGTTGCGGGAGCCAAGCAAGCTCAGTGCTGCTGGAACTCGGGGTGTGTGCGGGGGTGGGGGGGCGGGGCGGACGAGGCAGTGAGAGGTGTGGGGTGCAGCGCGTCTGACTTTACCTGGCCACGGGCTGTGGGGAGCCCACTGAAGGGCTTCAGCTGGAGAGCCACCAGGTCAGGGGCTGCAGGAAGGAGACGGGGCTGGGGGGCGGGCAGAGCCAGAGGAGGGGGCAGTTACGAGGCTGCTGCACTGTCCAGGTTTGGTGAGGGGTGACTGGGATCAGGGGAGGGCCGGGGAGGGATTCAGGGGTGTTTGGGGGGAGAATCGGATGAACTTGGGGGCTGACTGGATGTGAGGAGTGAGGGCGAAGGAGTCAGAGCCGACTCCCGCGTTTCTGGGTGGGGGGAGGTGCTGGGTCCTGACACGGGGAGCAGTGGAGGAGGAGCCGGCGGGCCGCACCCTGCTAAGTTCAGCTTCAGATACGACGGACTCGGGAATGCAGGACCCAGGAATGCAGGCTTCTCGAGGACAAGAGTCTTCTCCACCTTGTTCACGCAGGGCCGTGGACGATGACCGTCCTGTCTTGTGTGGAGAAGTGGAGGAGGCAGCTGTGACGCTCAGGGGCTGGAACCGGGTTGAGGAGGTGGCCGTGAGGCGTGACGATCGCGCCGGGGCGGATGAGATTCGCAGGGAGAGCACGAGGCCTGGTCGCCGGCTGCGGCAGCGTCGGCTCCGAAGGACGGTAACTGTCTGATGAGGTTCACCAGCCCCGCTTCTCGACCACGCTCTCCCGTGCCTGTCGCCTCCCCTGCTGCTGCCCCTACTCCCCGATGAGTCTTCCTCCCTTGCCGCCCCCTCCCCAGCTGAGGGCACCCTCCCGGGCCCTCCTCCGGCCTCTCCCCAGACTCCTATTGCAGATGCCGAACTGGACCTCCTAATGGCACCTCAGCCCCGACACGCACCCCCCACGGAGCTCATCGCCTCCCCCGAAGCCAGTGTCTCCTCTTTCCGGCTCTGTCCATCGCTCGCCTTGCCTGTTGGAGGCACCCGAGTGCTGCTGACGTGAACCCTGAATCAAGCTTCGTCGTGGTTGGCTCTGTCTCGTCCAAACTTCAGGGAGCCACGTCGTTTCCGAGTTGGATCCTTGAGCTGGGGCCACCGACTGCTTGATGGAATAGCGAACGGGCCAGTCGCCTTAGGACACCTGACGTTTCTCCGTCTCTCCCCGGCTCAGTGTTCTTAAGGATAATAACACTGCTTAATCATTTTTGTTTTGATAAAGGATGCACCGGTAAGGGGGTCATTAACTGGCCCACCTCCACCTTAAGTCGCTAATTAATGAGTGAAGAGCTCTTCCAGAGGCAGCTCCAATTCTACGTGAAAAGTGTGGGGACTCGCCAGCCGGGGGCCCTAGTGCCTTTCCTCTCCAATTTCAGAGCCAAATCCCGCCTCAAAACAAACAAAACGCGGCCTCGGAAACGATCTGATTCATTCTATTAATTTACGAAGGAAGAAACTGTGACCCGGAGAGATTTCTAAGAAGTGACAACCCGAGATGGAGGAGGAGTCGGTTTCTCGGGAAAGGCTGCTTTTCGGCTGTGCTGCTCGGGGGCCAGTGTCAGCCCTCGAAGCCCTCTCTCGGGGCCCCCTCTTTCCTGCGGCGTCTTTAGCCCTGGGCAGCCGCGCCTCCTCCGATGCTCTTGCCCTGTAGCTGCGTCCGCGGGCGTGGAAAGCTAAAACCGATGTCGCTACTAGCCCACAGCCAGACATACAGACCTGGCCACCGTGTGGCCTCGGGCATCCCGCCCCTTCCCACCTCAGGACCTTCGGCCCGGCTGTTCCTTCTCTTGAAACGCCCTCCTCCACCCGCAAATGTTCGCTCCCGCTTATCCATGAGATCTCAGCAAACGCCATCTCCTCCGAAGACTGGCCACCCCCGGCCCCCGTTGACCCGTGGCGTGCCACCTCGGGGTGTCCTTCGTAGGATTTACCACACTCTCACCGTCTTTTGTGTGTTCGCTCCCTGTTTTTTTTTCCCCATTAGGACGGAAAAGCAGTGAAGGGGGGAGCTTGTCTGTCTCTGTGGACCGTGTCCCCAGAGCCTGCGTCAATGCCTGCGGTAGGGGTGAATGGATATTTAACGAGCGAGTGGTGACCCGTGACGTCTCTCCATCAGCCCGAGTGATTCGGACTGTGCTGGCGTCCTCAGTCGTCGTCACTCTGCCATGCAGCTTCTGGGGGCTGCTCTCATCAGGCTGGTTTACATCCCTCCTACCCTTCTCCCGCCCCGCACAAAGGTCCCGACTCTCCAGTGTGTGTTTTAAAAAACGGTGATTTTTATTACTACCGGCCGGAGTGGCCTGCGTGGGGTGGTGGGCGCGCCGGGCTCAGGGGACGTGCGGTCTGTGGCATGATGGCGTCCGTCTGGAGGGCAGCTCCAAGGGCTCCTCAGACCTACTTCTGGGAGCGGGTAAAGGAGTCATGGCAGGCGACCGCCAAGCCGCCGACAAGATTAAGAAATTCTTGGAAATCTAGCTGCCCGTCACAGTTGGTGTCCAATTTCTTCATCATGCGGTCAAGGACACCGGGGTCCTTCTGGTTCTGCAGAGGTGATAATAACAATAATGATAATACGAACAGTCCATCTTTCTACTGTACTTCCTCAGATGCTCTCAAGTATGTGGCCACATTTCATTCTCAGAGTGTGAGGTGCAGGTGTGGAGAGGGGGTTATTAGTGCTCCCCCTGCCCAGACGCGGGACCAGTCTCAAGGCAGTGAAGTGACTGGCCTCAGGGGAGGACCTAAGACTCGAACCCAGGTTTGCTGGCTCCGACTCCAGGGTTCTTTCTGTGACGATCAGGCGTTATTCAATTTTATAAAAACAGTGGGACACTTTTTTCAAGTGTTACATGCAATTCCCGTATACAAACTGTGTAAAAGAGGATGTGGGTCCTGCCCAATCAGCTTCACCGCCCCCCACTCGGCCACGCCCCCAAGCTACACACAGACTTCCGGCTGCCGGTTACACACGGCCATCTAAATTAATGAGAAAGTCAGTTCCTTAGTTGCACGCGTGGCTAGTGGCTATCATCTTGGCCAGTGCAGATGTAAAACCATCGCAGAGAGTCCTGCGGGACGGGGCTGCCCTAGAGGCTTTGGGGTGGAGGAATAAGATTTGAAAACTCTTCTATTAGGCCATTTACCATTCCACAAACCCCTTTCCCTAAATGGTAAATGGAAAAAAAAAACCAAAAAACCCCACTGTTCCCTCCATCAAGTAGTTTGATAACTTTGAACTTTAAAACACACCTTAGTCAAGGAAAAAGAGGAGGAAAGGCCCATTGGTAGTCACTCAGAGCTCTCCCCGAGGTCCAGGGGCTCCACCTAGGCTGCTCTGTGGGCCCTGCCCGGGGGTGAATGAGGAGGAGGCGGCAGCGAGGGGCATCACTAGCCACGCTGCCAGTCTGGTTTCATGCTGCGGGTAGACTGGGGGTGGGGGTGGGGGTGGGGGCCGTACCTTGGTGAAGGCAGCCAGCTCCGTGTTCATGAAGGTCAGGAACTCGGTCTTGGAGAGACTGTTCCTGTTCCCGTCCCGTCCAGCGTACTTCTGGAAGACGGCGATCAGGGACTCGATGCAGCGCTCCGTCTCCGTGGGGCTGGACATTTTGGCCTTTGGAGAAAGAAGTTCAGGGTTCAGAAGAGGACGAGGGATCAAGGGCAGGACGTGAGCGAACGCTCCCGGGAATCTCGTCTCTTCGTTTTGGGTGGAAGCCGCTTCCTGAAGGGCTGGGTCATTTTTGGGGGGCTAAGGGACCTCCAACAAACACAGGAAGTCACATTCTGTGGGCTTCCCTCCCGCATCTCACGTGTTTATTCCAGGTGAAACAGTCAGGTAAGTATGGAGCATGTGGGTGGGGATGTTTGAAGGAGTAGCCTGCCAGGGTGACAGCGAGGGCCACAGGCCCACTGATGTGTGGGCAAACGTACAACCATACACGCTGGAATCCACGTGCATGCCAAGCGTGGTAGAGACTAAATATTTCCTGTGTTCCAAGAATATACAGAGGCTACTGTGATGAATGAAATGACGGTTCTTTTTATAGCATTACTTAATCCCTGAGACTCATGCATTTTCTAGAAGAAAACTGAAGGCATAGCTACTATTGTATATGGGACGGGAGACCTGAGAATTGTTTGGTGCCCAGAAGCAGCTTTCCTATCAGAAAATTAGGAACAATCAGTTTTACTTGTGAGGAAACGGGCACAAGAAGGGACTCGACATGGCAGAGCCACACCCAGAACCACAGCCTCCGGGTCCCCTCCCGCGGCCCTGACTCGGCTTCTACTTCCGGATGCCACTAATTCCCCCGAGAATGGCCGGTGGAACTTCTCCGCTCACTTTAAACCAGGAAGGCTGATGTGCCGCTCACGCAGCTCCCACGGCATCTGCAGAAGTCTTCGAGTAAATTCCACGGCCCCGTGTGCGGGTCACCCAGCCGGTCCCGGGGGCCTCCGAAGCGACGACCTGCTGGGCTCCCCCTGGTGGGTGAGAGCGGCAACTGCGGGCTCCCGGGAGACCGCGCCCGGCCACGCCCTGCCCCGAGGCTTTATCTCGGGGCCCCGACCACCCTGTGTTTCCACCGTGATTCTGCGGTTTAGGGTTTAGCCGACAATTTGTTCCTGGGATTGACTTCCTGGAGCCCCGAGCCCGAGGCTTTCAGGCCCCGTCATTAACGCGTCCTTCCCCGCTTTCTGCAGGCTTTTCACCGCGGTCCCTCTGGCGGCTTTACCAGCCCAGCCGGGGCGTCTCGGAGCATCTCTACGCCCTTCGGAAGCTGGGTTCTAAAGGACTCGTCCGGAGGTGGAGTCCTTCCCAAGTCACACAGTTGAAACTTTTTCTTAAAAAAAAAAAAAAAAATGTCGGTGTATTCAGAGTTTGGGGAAGAAACAAGACACCGTAGCCTAGAAACGGATGTGTTTGCACAACGGCTTATCAGCTCTGGAATCTCACTGTCAGATGACAGCACAGGGCCGGCTAGGACGGTGCACCAGATAGGACAGGAAGCTCCAGACTGGGGGGCTTCGCGACCTTTTTCTAGAACCGCAGGAGCTTCCTCTGCTGCTTTTTCTTGAGAAATAGATGGCTTTGCTTTTCCAGTTTCGGAGTGGCCTTCCACTTTACTGTTTTTCTCCTTCTCATCAGTCTTGACTGTAATTTAGACGACTTCGGTTCTCTTGAAAACTGCTGCTATCCGCCGCAAGGAGAAAACTAAAACCTCTGCATTTCTCCCCAGAGGTAATTTTCCAAAACAAAGGAAAGAAGCACAATGATCGACTCACTGAAATGGAACTGCAAAATCTATAGAGCTCGAGGTGATTTTGGAGATGGTGCCCAAGGAGAGAGGCCCAGAGACAGGAAAGCTTTGGCCTCCGTGGGGCAGTGGCCGGGGTGAGACCAGCTCCCTGCCTGGAGGCCAGCCCCTTCCCCCTCCTCCCTCCCCCACGTCACTGTGTTTGGTGAGGACCATGACAGGAGAAGCAATGTGATAAATAGATACTGAGAAAGAATGTTTAAAATGCATGCTAAATACTCAATATTTGAGGAAACCAAAAAAAAAAAAATAATAATAAAAGTGAAATAGTAATATTTGAAAAAGACTCAAGTACCGCAGTTCTCATTCTTAACCGACACCCCCTTTCCCTTCCAAGGACCCCCGGCGGCCCCCACTTTCCTCCTCCGGGGCAGCCATTCCAGGTGTTCTGGTGGGGTGGGCTCTGCCACTCCCAGGTCCCACGTGACACTGACTCATTTTGCACGGAAAGAATAGAGAAAGAGTCATGGGGGTATAGAATATGACGCGCAGAGCAGGGGTTGGCAAATTCGGTTTGTAAAGGGCCAGAGGGTAAATATTTTAGGCCGGCGTGGGCCGCAGTGGTCTGTCACTGCTGTCGTGGTGGCCAGCAGCCACACAGACGCTGCCTAGGTGAACGGGCGTGGCCCGGGGGCCATGAAACTTGACTTGTGGACAACAAAGTTTGACTTTCATATAATTTTCACAAAGTATTATTCCTCCTCTGATTTTCTTTCAACCTCTTAAAAATGCAAAATCCATTGGTGGCTTGGGGGAGGAGCAGAAGCCCCGTTCGGGCCGCGGGCGTTGGTTCCTGACTCCCTTCACCAAGGAGAGGCAAGGTGGGTTCTGGAGGTGGCTTGATGGAAAAGGCGGAAGGACAACGCCAAGTGCGGACCGCAGGAGCTCAGAGGCCGAAACAGGGGGCGCAGCGAGTGCGGGAAAGGTCGGTGGGCGAGAAGGCTCTGGAAGGCGGAGGGGCCCGGGCCGGCTCCTCCCACATTCTTGGCTGAGCCTCGGCTTCCCGGAGGCGCTCGGGTTTCAGACTCCTGCAGTTTGCGGGTGACTTACTGAAACGATTTCCCCAGGGTTCCGACTACAGTTCTGAAATGTGCCCTCTCTGGGGTACAGAGAGGGGCTGGTGCCGCTCGCAGCATTCCACCCGCGTCTGTGCCTCGGCGCGGGGCTCCCGGCCCAGCGGGACCCCGGTCCTTCCCGGCCCAGTGGGACCCGGTCCCTTCCGGCCCAGCAGGACCCAGATCCCTTCCCTGCCCAGCGAGACCCCGGTCCTTCCCGCCCCAGCGAGACCCCCCCTCCCCGGCCCAGCGGGGCCCGGTCCTTCCCGGCCCAGCGGGACCCGGGTCCTTCCCGGCCCAGCGGGACCCGGGTCCTTCCGGGTCTCTTCCCGGCCCAGTGGGACCCGGTCCCTTCCCGGCCCAGCGGGACCCGGGTCCTTCCCGGCCCAGCGGGACCCGGGTCCTTCCGGGTCTCTTCCCGGCCCAGTGGGACCCGGTCCCTTCCCGGCCCAGCGGGACCCGGGTCCTTCCCGGCCCAGCGGGACCCGGGTCCTTCCGGGTCTCTTCCCGGCCCAGCGGGACCCGGTCCTTCCCAGCCCAGCGGGACCCT